GGTCTGGTGATGTCACAGGTTGGACAGGTACTAAATGCTGCAGAGTATGGCACCATGTAATGGCGTGGCACCACTTTGTGCAACATTCATCTGTGAGTCCAGGATGGGGGGAGGAGCTTTGACACCCGGGGCTCACAGGACATTGGTTCAATGATGCCTGTCATCATTCAACCACAGAAAGGAAGCCTTGCTTCTGCAGTATCAGGGCCGTTTCTATAATGAGGCAGCATGAGGTGGTTGCCTCAGGCAAATCTGTTTGGGTCATGTGTGTGTGTGTGTGTGTGTGTGTGCGTGGGGGGGCGGGGCCGGATTTACTCTCCCTGCCGCCCCAACATTTGGCTCGGCTTGTACAAAGCAGGACTGAATGTAGAGAGGGCAACTTCCCCACAAGGACACCGCTGCCACCCCTCTGCTCCCTCCCGCCCCGGGGCCGGGCCTCGGTGGCCTTGTGGGGAATCCGGGGCATGGGGGTGGGGGGTGTTTGAAGTGGTAGGTGTGCCTGCCGCCCCCTTTCTGGGCAGAGCATCTCAAATTGCAAAGAGTTCTTAGTAACCTGTGACACACTGGCAGGCATCCCGCCCAGCTCCAAGCAACCAGTGACATCAGTGAGCTGGGTGGGATACCAAACGGAGGTAATGTGCAAAGCTAGCACCCCACACTCCCCCACTTCGCCCTCAGGCGGCAAAAACAGTAGGGACACCCCTGTACATTATGTATGATTGGTAGCCAGCCACAGGCCATGTGACCTGGGCTGCCTAGGCATAAAGATGGGGAGCAGCAAGGAGGAGGTTTTTCACTCCAAGCAATAATATGATTTGCTGATAAGCCCCGTGGAGTCGCACGATGTGTGAATTTTAATGACAGGTCCTCTTTCAGTGTAAAATGATCGCGGGTGGCTGAAACATTCCTTTAAGAATGAGAGAAATCAGGATGTTGCGAGTGTTATTTTCCCCTTGACTTTCAATGATCTCCGCGGCATAATACAGCTCCAGAAATCAATTATATCCTAATTACACGGCTATCCCGGGATAATCGCACGCCTCTGCAGAAACGCATTCCGAACATGGAGCCACCAGATTGATTCCATCGGAAGGAAAACAATTATTGTTCTCTTCGGAAGGTGATTAAACTGAGTCATGACCAGTTAGAGATAGTGCTGGAGTGTCAGTAATGAAACGCACTATCTTCCCTCGCAGGCTCATTAGTTCAGGAGAGTATCTCCAGCTCTCCCGGTGACCACTGGAATTTTGTCTAAAGACAGACCCAGAGAGACTAAACGGAGGGGCTACATGCAGGGCCGGTGCTAGGATTTGTGCCTAGACAGGCAAAGTTGCATTTTTGCGCCCTCCCTCCCTCCCTCCCACCCAACCCCTTCCCCGACCCCCTGTAGCGCTGGGCCTGCTCCCTATCAGCATGTTTTTTTTTCTTCACTGACCTTCGGTGCACCTCACCCTGCAGCGCCCTCAGGCGGCCGCTTGCCTTGCCTTGCAGTAGCGCCGGGCCTGGCTACATGACTGGGGCGAGGAATAGTCCCTGGATAAGGGGTTAAAAAATAAGATGGGATTTAGCTGTCCTTACCTGATTGGACGTTGGGGTCAGATGTCCAGGAGGAGCCACATGGGTGGGAACTGCAAGGGCTGAGGGGCGTTCTTTCTAGAAAATCGATGAAGGAAGCAGGTTGTCCCATCCCCCCTCCCTGAATGTTTTGTTTTACGTTGGTTACGAGGTTCTTTTTCTGTCACTGCAGCTTGGTGGGTTAGGGGTTTTTTGGGGGGGTCTGTAAATCGGAGTCAATTACAAAGATGGGGGGGGGCCATCAGCTGGTATGGGTGCTTCCCCTGTTGGTCTTAGCATTTGTAGGGGGGCCTGGCCCCTTGGAACTTGGAAGCAACTGTCCTCGAGCTGGTTGGGGTGCGGCTGGAGACATGGGAGGAGTTTTTTAGGAGAGGCCCTTTTTGGGCTGCTGGGCACCCAAAACCCTTCTCAGATCAACAGTCGTTGAGTATTTATTTGTATAATTATTTGGTTCATTATTTTGGCTATTGTTAAAAATCTGTTTGGGTCAAAGTCCTTTTATTAAACAAAGTTGGTTTGTTTAATAAAAGGGCTGCTGTGGCCGTTAAAATCCATGCCGCGCAGTCTGTGCGTTTTATTGGGGGTTTGTTTCAACAGAGGGACTAAATCGATGAATCCATTAGTCAAGTCATCTCCAACCCCCAACATAAAGGTTATAAAGCAGAGAAATGAATGCCGGTGTCGCTAGAAGCTTTCTGAAAGCTTTGTAAATCCTTATTGCACTCATTGTTCTTCAGACCAGCGAGCTCCAGTGTGCGGCCATTTATCCTCCTATATCTTCAGTCAGAACCTGGAAAAATGCCATTTCACTCATTGCAATGAGAGCTTTCCCCGGCTCTGCTTCTGTGTTGAATATTATGCCACTTCAACAGCTACAGCTCGGAAAATGAATCATATGCATATGGCCGTCTGACACTTCAGCACACACACAATGGCTTACCAATCTCAAGGGAGGAACTGACTGGTTGGGTTGGCCAACAGCTATTGCTCCTGCAAGATAAGTCTGCCCACTATGAGGGGAGGTGGAAAAGTTGGTTAAGCTAAAGAATCCATCTTGATATTCGAGACTCCATCTTGTTATACATAAGTCCCAAGCAGTGAGGTGCGGTTGCCTTCCGTGCAGGGTGAGGCATTCCCCCATCCCACCGAAGCTCCGCCCTTTTCCCAACTCGGTAACTAAGCTATGTGTAGAAGAGGAAGGGAGGAGCCTCCCTGTCCCTCACTTTCTCGTCACTGGTGAAGTATCGAGAAATCAATGTCCTTAGTGGGTTTTTTTTTTATTTTTTATTATTATTTTCTTTGTTAACCACTTCCGGGCCGGCCGTAGTAAAAAAACGGCCGGCCCGAGCTCTCTAGATCTGAGCGGGCGTCTTTAGACGTCCGCTCAGACACGCCCCCCCGCGCGCGCCGCTCGAATCTGTCCCCAAAAAATGGTATAAAATTCATTTCAGTACAGCGCTGCATGACGGAATAAACGTCAGTCAAAGTACCGCAGCGCAGAATACTGAAAAATGGCCTGGCCAGGAAGGGGGTCTAAACACCTGGTCTTGAAGTGGTTAATTAAACCGGAAAACAGTATTTGAAGGATTAATAGTTCTTTTGGGGTGGGCCGACTTAGTCTGGTGTCTGACACTCAGTGGCGTAACAATCGCCATAGCGACCCAGGCGGCCCCTGATGTCGTGTGGACCATCTGGGTCCCTATGGCTTCGAACGTGCCGCTGTTCAGATCACTGTCAGTGATCTGTGCAGCGCTGTGTTCTTCTCCACAGCCGCTGCTGAGTCAATGAGAGCCAGCAGCGGCGGTGGAGGAGGCTGGACCCGGCAGGGGAGGAGGAGGCGGGGCCCGGGGGTCAGCAACAGAGAAGGAGGAGGGGTTGGTGATGGAGCAGGAGGCGGGGCTGGCGACAGAGGAGGGAGCGGGCCCAGCGACGAAGGACGGAAGACAGAGGAAGAAGAGGCGGACAGGTAAGGAGTGTGACCAGCCCATCTGAGGGTGACCCTGCAGAGCCCACCATAGATAGTCACTGGTCTAGTCAGCAGTCTGATCTTCTGAGCACCATCTCATATCTATGGGTATTTTTAACTAAGGCTTCCTCCTATGCACTTCTTTATAATAAAACAGATACATGTACGTCAATCACGCGTGACTATACACAGTTCTGAACACGAGCATGGCGTCGCAATTCCTTCAGGATTTTACATTTGATATAATTATTCATCCTAATTGGGCTCTTGTTTGTAATTCTGCATTCAATGATTGGAAAAACCTAACCTGCCAAATCTGAGCTTGTTGTGGTTGAAAAACCTGCCTCTCCTTGCTTCGTGAAAGCTTTTACGGCTGTTACCTGGCAGATACACACCAATCTTCCTATTGTGCTCTGTAATTTCTCCCAGAACAGTCATTAATTAGTGGGAAGTTTTAGAAAACCTCATGCCGCAGAACAGAGGAGATGCCATGGGGCAGAACTTGGTGGCAACATCCAGAGATGGACCAAAGTCCATAGATAGTGTAGCGCCCATCACCTTCTGTGATGTGACTACTATGCATTTAGTGATAGTCGGGGTTGTAGTCGGCCTGGCTGGATTTGTAGTGGCGATTACATGGTTAATCCCAGGTGTCTGGCATTGCCTGTACCCCCCTGGGCGGAGTGTGACTCTGTCATATTGTGGGACACCCAATGGTGGATACTGTAATGTGTGTACAGTACAGCAGCCAATCACTGGGCTTCTTTCAGCCAGTGGTGCCTGCTGGGATAGACTACATATATTGGTGGGAGCTGCCATGTGCTCTCTCTCTCTCGCCGGGACCAGCCATGGATTAGGGCTGGGTCCTGTTCAGTCTGCCCCCCCAGGCTAGGCCGAGGCCTGTGGGTGGGCATGGGCTGCAGTGAGGGAAAAGGTTTCCCTGAGGCCCCAAACATGGAGGAGGCATGAGAGATTGAAAGAGGAAGAGAACAGGGACCAGTGCAGGCTCTTGAAGTACCCTGGAACTAAGTGGACTTCCGAGCATGGTCGGTGTCTTTCCTGGATTGAGGATCTGCATCTATCCTGTCTGTCTGTCACATCAGTGGTTATCTGATGTCTCCCACGTGGATCTGCATTGATACTATTACAAGGTCCGGTGAGTCTGGAGATTCTGATGGTTACCCCTGGACACCTAGAAGCCCCCATACCCTCTCTCCCAAGGTGAATATCCAATAAATCATTTACTCAGCATCTTACTACTGGAGTGGACATCAGTTTATGGGCACCAGAAGTGGGCGGTTAGAGCTAATGGGTGTGCGGCCGAAAATCATACCCTAGACCGAGTAGAAGTGAACCAGGCACCAGCGGCTCCTCTGGGAGTTATCGCTACAGTGGCATAGCAAATGCAAGCGTAGTTCAACATGTAATTATAAAAAGCTCATCTGACTGTATTCCACAGGTACCGCGGACATGTTCCAACCGAGCTATTCACCTATGGAGATACGTATGGGAACACCACAGCACGCTGCTTCCAGGATTTCCGTTCCTCTGCTCTCAGTTCAAGCCAGAGTCCTTACTGCAAGGGGGGGCAGTTCCCTACCAGCTACTCCAATGACCCTGCACTGGTGCTGAGCAGTAGGTCCCGTGGCTGGGACAGGTTTCTCTACAGTCCTAGCTGGTCCCGCTACAACGTAGACTATAACAGGACCCAGGAGCTGGACCAGTTCAGAAAGGTTTGGATCTCTTTACTGCACTCATAAGCTACACCATTTGAAGGCTTTTGCAAATTTCTCATGATGGAAAAATAATACATTACTTACTGTTTGGCTTGTTCCTGTGTGGCTGTGCAAGCGTTTAAAGTATCCACATGTGCACATTCCTAAGCAAAGCACCAACCACATTTGAGTTTGGCTTTAGTGGAGAAGCTGATTCACTCAAGTGAACCAAAGGACCACTTACCAGTTCACTCTTGCCTTGCCCAGCAAACAGAATGGCATACTCAAAGTGTCCCTAAACAAGATTCAATGGGAATTCCGCTCTTTGACTTCTTTCTCATGAGGATGGCACCTAAAAGGGAAGAAGAATACCTACTTTTTAGGTGACTGATATCCAAGAGGGTGGGGATTTAACAAGAAAAGCTAAATTTTCATTGGAATCCATTGAGAGCCACAGGTTACCTTTGTCCTACGGAAAATAGGCTTTCTGTGTGTTTCATCCCAACACACATTGAAGTGATAAGTGTTCCTTTGGATCAGTTTACTATTACACCGGGCAAAGGGAATACCCAGCTATTGCAGCAAACAGCATAATTTTCCACTTATTATTTCAATTCTTCCTCACTCCACAATGAGTTGTTTATTGTGTCCTCCTACTTCCTGTCTGGGTCACTACATGAAGTGAAGGCCAAGTCTACCCAGAAAAGAGCAAATTGTTTACAACCCTCCGCTCACCCCAAAAAACGATTTCGGTCAGGAGTATCTGGTGGCTGTAGATAGGGCCACCCCACCGCATGGACAGCTTCTCCAAATGGACTGTAACAGAGTCCTCTCCACTTTAAATTTTGATTATTGCCATGGGAGAACAGTAGACTCAGTGGGATAAATTACCTCAATGATATCAAAAACAAAGAGTAAATGCATTTTACTTGCCCAAGGTCTCCCCCTAGAGTCCCTGACAAGGCAAATACTCATTTGTACCGCACAGCCTCTACTGAAAACTCCTCACTGTCGCATCCTGCATTGGGGAGTAAAGGTTTACATATCCTTTGAGCTACTGGTTCCATCCATGGTGTGGTCAGTCAATACTTCATTTTATTACTGAGTTAATGTCCTTGTGTCATACACACTAATATTAAAACAGAAAAAAGTTTCCAGGCACACTCACCAGCCTTCATGCAAAATAACCTGTATAACCACTAAGGTTAAAAACAGAGGTTTAGTTACACGTCTTCTGCAGAAAATGTGAAAGCCGCACAGCCACGTCAAGGCACCTCCATATAGTGCGGTCTTAACTCTAAACTAAGAGTCTCCATCTTGGAGCACATGGGGCAGAAGATTAAAATTGGGTGCAGGTTTGTCAGGAGGAAGCCCAACCTCCCTTAAAGGCACAGGGACGCACAGGGGACCCCGCACATCACAACAGCAGCTGAGACCCCCCATGCGTCACTGCACCAAGACAGTCAAGCAAAACAAATGACAAACGCACTCATACCCTTTTAGCTACTGGTTCCATCCATGGTGTGGTCAGTCAATACTTAATTTTATTACTGAGTTCATGTCCTTGTGTCATACACACTAATATCACCAGCACACCAGTCCTTTTAAGATAGCAAAAGCTTCATTTATTGAAGTTTTTTGTCATATGAACAGGCGCTTTCGGGACCACACAGGGTCCCTTCATCAGGCTTAAGCATTGACAATTGAACAGTGATCACATCTAGGTATAAATAGACAGACAGTTGCATAAAACACCAATCAACACACCCTCTAACGTCACAATGACGTCATAATCCCGCCAAAAACATGTGCAGATGTTAGCTATCATATACAGTATAATCAGTGTAGGAATGTGTGTCATCAGTGAAATGCTGCATATGAGCACATATCATCCATGGATCAAAGAGTAAATATCTTACTTAATGGGAGAAGATATTTACTCTTTGATCTGTGGCTGATATGTGTTCATATGCAGCATTTCACTGATAAATGAAGCTTTTGCCATCTTAAAAGGACTGGTGTGCTGGTGACATTTCTACAACTTCTGCTGATCACTGCGAGCACCCCCCCACTACAAGGGACATATCGGTAAGGAGTGCAACAAGCATAGTATTTATACACACTAATATACCCCTCTCTTCTTTTAGAGTGCTGAAAAACACCGCGACCACTACCGGGACAAAACCGGAACTGTGCCACAAGTGCCGTACTTCATCTTACCTGTGAAGAACGAGGAGACTTATCCTCTACCCCAACAATGGTGAGATTGTTAAATGAGAACCGTATGTAATCAAAACACCCATAACAGCCCGCATTGTTCTACAGCAAGTTAAGTCAGAGTTTAATCTCTAGCAGGTATAGTACCAGCCTGTGGCGAGGATACCGAAGGTAAGTTTTCAGACAAACCCAAATAAGGGAGCCTACATCATGAGGACATGTAGCTTCCTATGCACTGCATCATCGGTAACAGGTGTACCCCCTACTGGCTAAATTACTTGGTCACCAAGGATAGATGGAGGAACTTTGCTCATCAATTCGCAATCCAAAATGGAGTATGGCATACAGAAGAGAATTGGTACAGCGGTCCTAAGTAAAGTTCACACTCAGATCACCTTCAGTACTATATTAATGTTTATGGGGTTCTAGGCGCACTTTCATGAAGACTTACTTTTATGCTAAAAAAGTTTTCTTTAACTCTTGGCGCTAATGGCTGCCAGCTGAACGATCCACTTGCTGCTGCACACTCAAAGTTTTCAACAGTTAATCACAGTTTTTCACACAGACTTGAGGAGCTGCTCATCCAAGGTTCTGGGGCATCCACCACGAACAAAGAAAACAAAAGGGAACCTCCGTGTGTAAAATCGTTTATTAGGATGAATAAAACAAGGGACAAATGTACTCACAAGCAAACGCTTTCATCAGGCTTTAGCAACAAACAAGAGGCCACACTGTCCGTTAACCCAACATGGTATCACCCCGACTATGCAACACGGTAGCCTCCGGTCACATCACCGCCCACCGGCCGCAGTCAGCCAAGATTGACGTGTTTCATGACCGACTATGCAACACGGTAGCCTCCGGTCACATCACCGCCCGCTGTCAGCCAAGATTGACGCGTTTCAGGGGCAAGCCCCCTTCATCAGAATCATGACAGACTATGCAACACGGTAGCCTCCGGTCACATCACCGCCCACCGGCCGCAGTCAGCCAAGATTGACGTGAGTCATGACCGACTATGCAACACGGTAGCCTCCGGTCACATCACCGCCCGCCGTCAGCCAAGATTGACGCGTTTCAGGGGCAAGCCCCCTTCATCAGAATCATGACCGACTATGCAACACGGTAGCCTTCGGTCACACCACCGTCCACCAGCCGCAGTCAGCCAAGATTGATGCGTTTCAGGGGCAAGCCCCCTTCATCAGAATCATAACCGACTATGCAACACGGTAGCCTTCGGTCACACCACCGTCCACCGGCCGCAGTCAGCCAAGATTGATGCGTTTCAGGGGCAAACCCCCTTCATCAGAATCATGAATCAAACATGTTTCCTTTTAAACTGATGATCGCCTTCTACATTTGTGGCCCAAAAGGCTGATGTCATCCGGGTAATAGTTCACTGAGGCACAAATATACAGAAGATGTATTAGGGAACCTGCAACAGAATTTGCTCTGGCTGTGACAAATCTCTGCAGATTTTTCAAAGCCCGTGGACGTGCATCAAAACTTCCCCCTGTGAACAAAAAAAGTGAACCGTGAAATCACAGCACACAAAAAACGTGCACAAGGGTGCAAGGTCCTTTGAAAGAAGGGACCTACTTTCCCGACCCCCCGGGGCGCAAGGCTCCTGACAGGGGTTGAGACTGGTGGCCCACCAACCCCGAAGGCCGTGGATCATTTCCTTTGGGGACCTGCCGAAACAGGTCCCCCTCAGTACTAGGCAAGTGGGATCTCCCGAAGAGAAACCCACCTCCTGGGTGGGAGGAGACAGAGAACCCCATTTGAGGCACAGAATCTCCTCCCAGCGTCAGGAATAGTCCCCGAAGAAACCTGCACCTTTTGCATCTGTGGGTCAAAATTTAAAATAAAAAAGTGCCAAACGTGGATAGAGTGCTTAAATAATCTAAAGTGCCAGTGCACCACTCTGACAGGCCTTAGGGGCCGGAGTGCAAAAATATTGCCCCAGACTAGCCATAGGGCCTGTCTTGGAGGCGAAGTGCAGAAAATATGCAATGTGGTGTGTGACCAAGTGCACAGTGAGTCAAGTGGGGTCCCATACCCATGTGACTTTCTGCGCACCCCTGGGACGCCACCCCCAGGGGGCACAACACCACGGGCTTCTGCCCGGTGGATCGATGCCTTTCTTCCCTGAAAACTGATAAGAACAGATACTACACTTGATCTTAGCCAAAAGGCCGAGAAGCGACAAATCTCTGCAGATGCAACACCAACAAAAGGGTTCCTCTGCTTCTATTTTTCTAAGCACCATTGATAGAGGTGGGCCGTACCATGGAGATGATATATCGCACTTAGGGTGAGACACGCCACAGAGTTCACTATAGGCTTTATTTAATAAACTTCAAATAATTGTATCCAGCAGTGTGCTTTCGTCAATTATATCTAAGAGGCTTACTGTGTCATAGGGGGACATGGAGAATTTTTTGGGCAATGTGACCAGTAGGGATAACCTGGGATTGAACCCATGAGTTTTGGTTAACAAGACTAACTCTTGGCCACTGTACCTGCTGTCAGGACAGGTTTTGGCTGAATATATTAAGCTGATAAATCTGGGCTAATTTACTAAAGGCATTAAAAATCTTCACACAAAAGGTCAAAGCCCGAACCTGGCCACACTGTTGCCTGCTCTACTGATCCTTGTGTGCCACCTTTAAGCTGCTATCTTCATACTCAGTTATATCAGACAAAATGGCAACAATCTGGGATTTAACAACCTTGGGATTTTCTCTTTTTTCAGTCATGACCTCCATCCAAACATAATAATTGTGTGCTAAATCCTGAGTCCTGTACTAACAGGGTTATTCACAAAAGGTTGAAGAGTTTGGAGAATGAACAATCTAAGACAACATAAATGAACCAGATAAATTTTCCAAATCAGCTATTTTGGCCTAGATTGTTCATTTCTGCCTTCTCCAAACTCATCACCTTTCTGTGAACCCAATATGTCTTTTGATATAAACTTCAGTTATTCAGTAAGATAACCAGGCACAGATGGGGATTGAACCCATGTTCTTTGGTTTACGAGACCAACGCCTTACCACTTGGCCACTGCGCCTGCTCTGACTGGCTCCTGGGCAGGCTTTATTAGGATAATACAGTGTATGACTTATCTGTAGGACACTCTATAAGATTATTATTATTATAATACAGGATTTATATAGCGCCAACAATTTGCTCAGCGCTTTACAAAATAGTGGAGACAGTACAGTTACAATACAATTTACAGTACAATACAGTTTCAGAACAATAGGGTTGGGAGGGCCCTGCTCGTGAGAGCTTACAATCTAGTAGGAGGGGCAGTTGATACAAAAGGTTATAATTGTTTGGATTGAGTTATTGGAGGAAGTAAAGGCAGTTATGCTGAGATGAGGTAGGCTTCCCTGAAGAGATGGGTTTTTAAGGATCGCCTAAAGGTGGGCCTTACCACTTGGCCATTGCGCCTGCTCGTTATGTGATTTTCAGTGGGCTTTATGAGGCTGATACATTGTAACAGTTGTGTGTAGTACGTTAAATGTGATTACACCTAATCTTCTTTTGCCAGTTTGGTTTGAATACCTTGGCGTTGTCTTTCCTTAGATTTTTTACCTCCATGTTTAGATACATCATCCAGGAATTATTATAATATGCTGCTATGTAATGAAGGTCACTGAAGTGAGTTAAAATCAATTTTCCCTTTCAGAAGGGTTTTGCTAAAGGTGAGGTATACATTGAGCTTAACATTTGCACAGATGTGGATTGAACCAATGATCTTCTACCTCAATTCTGTACTTTGGATGAAAACTTTGTTCTTGCATTTTTGCTCCTCTAGATGACAGCTTGAGTCTGATTCTACCACGACTTAACCTTCTGTGCATTTTATTGCCAGTCTGGCTTAACAACCTTGGCTTTGTCTTCTTTTGAGTAGGGACCTCCATGTTTAGGTTTTTAATCAAGTCATTGTCATCTGGTGCTAAAACCTGAAGGTCACTAAGGTGAACAAGCCACCATCATCTAGAAATGTGATACCAACGTGCACACACTGTAGAGCAGCTAGTAAAGGCACAGATGGGGATTGAACCCATGATCTTTGGTTTACGAGACCAACGCCTTACCACTTAGCCACTGCGCCTGCCTCACCTACTGGTCAGGGGGCTTTATTAGGCTGATCCAGTGTACCAGTTGTGTGTAGCATGGTAAATGTGATAACACCTAATCTGCTGTGCCTTTTCTTGCCAGTCTGGTTTAACAACCTTGGCTTTGTCTGCTTTTTAAGTTGTTACTTTGAAATGCTGAGCAAACCTTTTATAGATATTTGTTCTCTGATTCTTGTAGTAAAGCCCAAGGAAACTGACCCAGTAATATTTATCATAATTTACAAACATGCTGTGTCTGATTATACAAACACCTAATATTATTTGCACTTTATAGCCAATCTGTCTTTACAACCTTGGATTTGTCTTCTTTTGAGTAGTGACTTCCATGTTGAGTTTTTTTGTTATGGAGGCATTATCATCTGGTGCTAAACTCTGAAGGTCACCAAGACCAGGTAAACAAATCACCATCATCCACATAATGTCCACATAATTTAGAACAGCTAGCAAAGGTACAGATGGGGTTTGAGCACATGATCTTTGGTTTACAAGACCAACGTCTTACCACTTGGCCACTGTACCTGCTCTTTGTGTGTTTTTCAGTGGGCTTTATTAGGCTGACACATGGCAACAGTTGTGTGTAGTAAGAAAAATGTGATGACACCTAATCTTCTTTTGTCAGTCTGGTTTAACAACCTTGGCTTTGTCTTCCTTTTAAGCCGTTACCTCCATGTTTAGGTACATCATCCAGGCATTATTATATTGTGTTGTTATGTAGTGAAGGTCACTGGGTTCAGTTAAACACATATTTCATATTCCGAAAGGTTTTGCTAAAGTATACACTGATATCACCATAGGCAGAGATGGGGATTGAACCCATGGTCTTTGGTTTACGAGACCAAAGCCTCAACACCCACCACTTAATCTTCTGTGCATTTTGTTGCCAGTCTTGTTTAACAACCTCAG